GCTGGTCCTATGTCTCTTACCACTGGGTCCCCAAGGAAGGTGTGAGGATGCTAATCTAGGAAACTTTTAAACAATGGTACCACGTGTACCTCCAGAACAGTATTATTTTGGGATCTTCTGCCGTGTGTGTTGGTGGAAGGGGTCTCCTGTGTGAGAATATTTGCATCATGAGAAAAAACACCTCTTGTATTTTCACACTTCTTAATCTTTCAGAGGAGGTAGAGGAGAAGTGATGCAAATGCATAAAATACAACAGAAAAATGAAGGTCTGGTCTGCAGTACAGTCCTATATCGGTATAACGACATTGCTCAGAATTTGAAAAATCCACACCTCTGAGCAACGTAGTTATACTGACCTAACCCCCTGTGATGGGATCCCCGGGGTAAAACCTGGCACTGTGGGACCACTGTGCCTCCTTAACTCTCCTGCCTGGGTTCTCTCACACAATACTATGCCAGTGACAAGCAGCAAACCTTGCCAGGCGCTGTGATCACTCAGCCATTGGCACGTGGAGCCCCGCACCCAGCTAAATTGCATGAATGCTCCCCGAACCACACATGAAAAATACGGAGAGGCACCAGCCAATCACCTCAGCCCCCAGCCTTACACCCCAGAAACTTACCATCTTACACTGCTCAAGACTCCCTTGAACAGCAAGCTCATTAATTAATTTGGCACTTCTTCTAAGGAAAGTGGACATGCACCAGCCTGTGTAACCTGAGCAGAGATTCCCCAAAAGCACTTCAACCAAAACCACACTGGTTTAGGTAAAATATAAGAGAGATTTATTAACTACAGACAGATTTAAGTGACTATAAGTAGCAGACATAGAGCCCAAAATTAGTTACGTAATAATAAAAATAGAAACATTCTAAATTCTAACTTTAACAGACTAAGCAAGATTTGAATGAAACAGTGTCTCACCCTAATAGACGTTACAGGCAGCTCACAGGTCTCAATACTCAGACTGAACTCCCTTCCAGTCTGGGGCCAATCTCCCTAGTTCAAAGTCTTTGTCCTCCAGACGATCTTCCAGGTGTTGAGACGGAGTAGGGGGAAGAAGCCAAGTGATTATGTTATTTTCCCTCTTTTATACTTTCTTCCGGCTGCTAGAAAGATCCTTGCTGTGACATCAGTTAGGCTGTCCCCATTACGTATGTGCCCTCTCTAAGGAGCCTCTGGGAGAGTGATTCTTCTTAGTGGGCCATCAACGCGTCTGGCCAGCGATAGCTTCTCCTTTGTTGCAACCGAAAGGCTGGCTCTGGGCGTTTCCCAACCTCACAATGTATTTCAGTAACACATACAGCAGTGCTCCACACTTCACATACAATGATCGCACCTACAATTGAAGAAGATATTAAGGTTTAACAGACCAAGACTTTTAAATCGATACCTCCCAAGGCATGCATTGTACAGGACATGTCAATCATATGACAGTGGTGAATAGGGGGATTCCAGTGTGCTTTGAGGGACAGAGTATTGCACGCCCGCTCCCCCCCGCCCATGTGCACATTGCCATATCGGTGGGAGAGCTTCTGCTAGTGACAAAGCTACCGCCTCCTGCGGAGGTGGATTAGCTAAGCTGACGGGAGAGCTCTCAGTTACACCGGTGCAGCTGTGCCGATGCACCATTTGAAGTGTATACGAGCCCCAAGACGCAAAACCACAGAATCAGAACTCTAAACATTTGTGTGTCCTGCCGTCTGCAGTTGGAGCCCGACATGTTTATTCTCTGATTGGTTACCATCATTACCACAGCATAGTAGTCCTTGTTACCCAATCAGGCAGCCAGTTTGGGATTCACGGGGAGGGAATGTCCCCTGAAGGTGTCTCTCTCTTTGCCTCATGAAACTTTGGATCCAAAGAATGAAGGATGATTGTTCCCATGGCATCTTCTGCGACTGTAATCAGTGACACTGAACTAGGGAGTCGTGTTCGACAATTTTCCTTGGGCCGTTGGTCACCATAGCTTCCTTTACTGGGTGAAAACCAAGAACTCGGCATATACAGTTTCTCCTTCTTTCCGAAGCCTTGGCCTTGGCTTGGGTACATTTACGCTTCTCTGAAGTAGAACCCTTTACCAAACCCCTCAAAGTCTCAGCAGTGCTAGTGCAGAACAGCTTCCTGAAACGTGGCCAGTTTTTCTTTAACTTGGTGGCCCGGGTCTAGGCTAGGAACTAGATCCAGGCCCGCACCAGAATCTCTGTAAGTTACCGGAGTTGGAGTTTCTATTAAAAAATAGCTATTTTTCTGCAGCGATTTAATTGTATACACGTTTGTAGCACCTACAAAGGGTAAATTCAAGAACAAAAAAACCCACTTCTATTTCCTCCACATCTGCATCGTAAAGGGCAGCGTTTCCCATAAAATAGTATTAGCTACGAGAGATCTTCTGTAGGGCCTGGGATACAAATGCTCTGGGAACCAAATACATGAGCATTTTGCCTAGCTCCAACTCACTTACTGTGGAATCCTCTCCCCAGATCATCTGAGACAATATTGACTTAAACCAGCAGTTCTCAAACCGTTTTAAGGGGATCGCCAGGGTCGGCGTTAGACCCTGGACTAAAGGAAAAGCCCCCCTGCCTGGGGTTGAAGCCGAAGCTTGAGGGCTTCAGTCCCCCTGCCGTCAGCAGGACTCGGGCTGCAGCTTCATCTCCCCTGCAAAGCTCAGGCTACTGCCCTGCCACCTGGGGCTGACGCACTTTGGCTTCCGCAGAGGGGATAGGGGTCAGGTAGAAATTTTTGTTGTCAGAAGGGGGTCACGGTGCAATGAAGTTTGAGAACCATGGACTTAAACAATTGAACTCCACTGTGATCATCTGCACTTCCTTCAGTTCGTTGCACAGTTTGGGGTTTGCTGCTGTTCACCATTTCCGAGTGGAGATTTTAAATCACGGCTGTTTCTTTGTTAGGATGTCCAGTAAATGGAAGAGTTCTCTCCTGTTGACAGAACTGCACTTGAACTTTCTCCGTGTCATCATGGAGAGGTGGGGGAAAAAGCAAAGCTAAAGTGAGAGGTAATGACTTTAACAAATGGTCATTTGTCTCAAAGTCTCCAATAAATCTGAGCTCCAGCCTGTCAAACTAAACAAATCTCCAGTTGTGTGACCAAACAGCCTTCGGGAAAGATAGAAACCCACATCACAGAGAGGTAGACGACATGAAAATGCATGCATCCGATGAAGTGGGCTGTAGCCCACGAAAGCTTATGCTCAAATAAATTTGTTAGTCTCTAAGGTGCCACAAGTACTCCTGTTCTTTTTGCAGATACAGACTAATACGGCTACTACTCTGAAACATGAAATTGAAAGTATCAAGTGAAATTTCAGAGGAGGTTACATCTGATGACTCAGAATTAGGACAGGAGGTTCTCCCATCACATTCTCCTCTGGTCCATTCAAACCTGCTTCACTCAGCACTGTCTCATTATTGAGTTATGTCATATACAAAAGTTTTAGCATCCTCATAATGAGAGGAAAAGACAGCCAACCTTCCCACAAGTGGTGTTGCCAATAGATGGAAACTGGAATTTAAACCCCAAATGATTCCACTGTCTTTGGGATCCATTTGAAGTCCCCTTCCAGGTCTTTGACACTTTCATCTCCAGCCATAGCGACTCTGATTTAGGATTAAAGAAGTCAAAACATCATCTCCAAGCACAGACAGCTGAAAACACTGCATCACAGGACACTTTGAGCGGTGGGAGGTTTAGAATGTGATGAAGATAAACTCTGCATGCCTCAGACAGGAGGTAACCGTTCTGGAGTGATGGGGAAGGAGGGAATCTCTCTGAGTCACCCCATCTCCTTCCAGTGTCACAGAGGCAGAAATGACATTTTTTTCCTGCCCCTGCTCGTCATTATATTTAAATATATCATAAATTTAAGAAAAGGTCCAAAAATGCCATTGAGTACACTCCAGAGCAATGTGAGAACTGGGAATGATACAGTTTGTATCATCGGGGATTCTAAAAATAACTGTAGAATAAGAGGAACGGTATAAATGTGATGCTCCTTGTTTCGTGGAAGGAGAGACAAACTCCCATTACTCATGAGATAACGGAGTGGATAGAAAGGACAATCGGGTCCACCCCAAAAAAGGGTGAGCTGTCAAAGGGAAAAATGGGCAACTCGCCTGGACAAGCTGAGGGATAACACTGATGCAAATGGTTCAAACAGCTTTGAAGGTTACTACATGGGAATAGCAAAAGTGTTAAAAGAAAAAAATGTCTGGATAGCCCTAGAGGTTTTTATGGTGTTCAGCTCCCTTGCAGATTCTCTGATGATAGTTAAGGGCTGAGCTCTGAGTGAAACTTTTCCCACACTCACAGTGTTAAAAAGGTCTCTTTCCCGTGTCAAGTCTCTTCTGTCGAGCGAGTTGAGGGCTACGATTGAAGGTTTTCCCACACTCACAGCATTTATAGGATATTTCTCCCGTGTGGATTCTCTGATGTGCAGTGAGTAGTGCAGTGAAGCCATTACAAAAATGAATCATGATTAATCACACTGTTAAGAACAGAATACCATGGATTTAAATATTTTTGGATGTTTTCTACATTTTCAAAAATATTAATTTCAGTTACTGTGACAGGTTCCCCCCTGGAGTGCCACCTGGAACTGGGGTACCATTGAGACCCCCTGACCCACTAGCCTGGGTTTCCACTCACTCTGTACTGCTATGACAAGCTGCCAAGCCCTCCAGGCTTCACCCTGCACTTCCACCAGTGCACATACAGGTAGGGACACACCCAGCTGCAGGTACATACACATAGGTTCTTTAACTGGTCCCTGCATGGGAAGGCACAGTTAAGGCACAGTTAAGGCACCTCTCATTTTCTAAGGCACGCACCCCCACCTGGAGGGAAACCCAAAATGATACCACCTTGTGCTCCACAGAGAACTGTACCGCATAAGCTCATGAAATTCACCCCCTCCCTCAATGTGGAGAGGGAATATAGGACAGCTTTCTGCCCCAAGTTATGACTTCCATGCACTGATTTTAGACAAAACAAAAACAAGTTTATTAACTACAGAAGATAGATTTAAAGTGGTTATAAGGGATAGCAAACAGATCAAAGGAGATTACCTAGCAAATACACGAAACACAATCTAAACTTAATATACTAAAGAGATTGGCTATGAGTAGCAAATTCTCACCCTAGATGATGATTTAAGATGGTTGCAGAGATTCTTAAGGGGCCAGCTGCCCTTCCTTGCAGCTTAAAACCCCCATGTATTCCTTTCACAGGCTAGAAACCCCTTTAGCCTGGGTCCAGCCCTTCTCCCCCGAGTTCACTCTTTGTTCCTTAGGTGTCTCCAAGAGTCTCTTTGGGTGGGGAGTCAATGAAGAACCCTGATGATGTCACTCCCCTGCCTTAAACATAGGGTCTCTCCCCTGTGTGGATTCTCTCATGTCTAGTGAGCTGTGAACCGCAATTGAAGGCTTTCCCGCACTCACCGCATTTATAGGGCCGCTCCCCGGTGTGGATTCTCTGATGTTTAATAAGGTTTGAGGTGGAAATGAAGCTTTTCCCACACTCACAGCATTCGTAGGGTCTCTCTCCTGTATGGATTCTCTCATGTCTAATAACGTCTGAGCTCCTAGTGAAGGTTTTCCCACACTGAGAGCACTGAAAGGGCCTCTCCCCTGTGTGGATTCTCTCATGTGTAGTAAGATCTGAGCTGTAAGTGAAGGTTTTCCTGCACTCACAGCATTCATAAGGTCTCTCCCCCCTGTGCATTCTCTCATGTCTAGTGAGCTTTGAACTGCAACTGAAGGCTTTCCCACACTCACCGCATTTATAGGGCCTTTCCCCTGTGTGGATTCTCTGATGTTGAATAAGTTTTGAGCTGGAAAGAAAGCTTTTCCCACACTCACAGCATTCATAGGGTCTCTCTCCCGTATGGATTCTCTCATGTCTAGTAAGGTCTGAGCTCCTAGTGAAGGTTTTCCCACACTGAGAGCACTGAAAGGGCCTCTCTCCTGTGTGGATTCTCTCATGGGTAGTAAGATCTGACCTGAGAGCGAAGGTTTTCCCACACTCACTGCATTCATGGGGTCTCTCTCCTGTGTGGATTCTCTCATGTCTAGTGAGCTCTGAGCTGCAATTGAAGGCTTTCCCGCACTGACCACATTCATAAGGCCTCTCCCCTGTGTGGATTCTCTGATGCTGAATAAGGTTTGAGCTGGAAGTGAAGGTTTTCCCACACTCACAGCATTTATAGGGTCTCTCTCCCGTGTGCATTCTCTCATGTCTAATAAGGGATGAGCTCCTAGTGAAGGTTTTCCCACACTGAGAGCACTGAAAGGGCCTCTCCCCCCTGTGCATTCGCTCATGTGTAGTAAGATATGAGCTGAGAGTGAAGGTTTTCCCACACTCCCGGCATTCATAGGGTCTGTCTCCAGTGTGGATTATCTCATGTCTACTGAGCTGTGAACTGCAATTGAAGGCTTTCCCGCACTCACAGCATTCATAGGGTCTCTCCCCCATGTGGATTCTGCGATGTCGAGTGAGGTGTGAGCTGCGATTGAAGGTTTTCCCGCACTCACGGCATTCATAGAGTTTCTCTCCTGTGTGGATTCTGTGATGTGCAATGAGGGCTGAGCAGTCACTGAAGTTTTCCCCACATTCAGTGCATGTGTATTTTTTCTTCCCCCTGAGCGTTTTCTGCTGGGCTGTGGTTTCTTTGTGGTCCTTGTGAGTTCCCCAACAGTAAATAAATGTACTCAATTTCTCCCCTGGCTGTTTTCCCTGCTTTCTCTCTGCTCTGTGCTGAATCTCACAGGCTGTTCCCTGCTCGTGACTTCTGCACATGTTCCTTTTGGATATTTTGGATAATGCTCCGTGCGGTTCCACTTGGTCAGGATCTTCCTGCTGAGGATTCTGCTCCTCGTTCTCACTCACCCTCCCAGCACCTGCTGGGACAGAGAGAGAAACCTCAAACTGGGAGGGAAAAGGGAGGACCAAACCAAAATGAGAGAGATGTCAAAAAACAGGAACTGAATTCCCCTTCATATCCCATCCAGATTCTCAGACAGAAGGGAGGAAGCTCCTGCTAGGTGTCAGTTAGGATCTGTAGGAAGCCATGAGCTATATCTGCCCTGACGATACAACACCTGCTGGAAACAATCCTGAACTGAGAGCTCTCAAGCTCTTTGTAGGGTATCTCAGATTTTTCGCTCAGGCACTTACAGATTCGGAGTTGGTTCAGTGTTTCTCACCTGTGCAGGGATCTCTCAGGATCTCTTTTTCCTCTGATTCCTGGAGGTCTGGGACGCATGGCTTTTCCCCTTGTTCCAGCTGGGAGATCACATCAGGTTTGGAAACTGGAAACCCTGCTCAGATGAAAGAAAACAAAGGAGATCAGGTTAATTCATAAGACTTTGTCATGATAATAATTATTAATTTAAACCCCAGTCCTTAGTAAACCAGTGAAATCCCAGGGCCAGCTCCTCAGGTCCTCAAAGATGCAGAACCCTCTGCTCAAGAGGGATTGAAATACACACATATCTGCTAGGAACACACACAGACACACACTGTGACACACTGTAATCCTGTATTCATTCTTTTGCAAAATTATGATACAGTTTGTACAAAGTATGCCATGTCAGGTATCATCTGGAAACTCATAATATGCTGAACATTATTGTCTTGTTAAACTATGTATGAAAATAGAAACACTACATATATAAAGTGTGACAGAGCTCCTTCTCCACATCAGTGAATTCCATGCTTCCTGTTAGTGGTGGGCTCGGGTATTCCTCTCCCCCTCAGGATTTCCCCATGCCCCTGGGTTTACTGTCCCACAGCTTGCCTGAGCAGGGTTCCTCCCAGCCTTCTTGATGGCAGAAGGGAGAAAGGAGCCTTTTAATCTCTGGTAGGCCCTCCGGGCATGGTAGCAACAGGCCAGATACACAGTCTCTCCCCTCTGGTGGGTTCTCTTCCCTCAAACATCCGGGGCCCGGAAGGGCTGTTTGCCCTGTTGGGTAGGGTTTCCCGCCTGGTGCTTGTCAGCATCTGCACCACTCAGCTCTCCACTAGCATGCCTGCCTCCCACAGCTCCTATCACGTGCTCATATCTGGCGCGAGCGGAGGCTCTTAACAGATTCTGAAGAACTGAACTTTGGGAGGCGGGGCCCCTGGCTGAAAGGAAACCCAGCCTGTCACAGCATATGGTGAGCAAGAGACATTTGCTGTACATCTGTTTTAGCTTGTTAAGTTAGACGTTAGTTTGCGTTTCATCTTTTATTTCTTTTGTAAGCAATTCTGACTTTTATGCCTCCTTACTGTAGTCACTTAAAATCTTTTCTTTCTGTAGTTAATAGATAAAACAGTAAAACAACTTTATTGTTTGGATTAAAGTGTATGAGAAATGCCACTTGGGATAACAAGCCTGGTGCATGTTATTTTCCATTGATGAAATGACAGAGTTTCTATGACCTTGTACGGTTTAGTAATGTGCTGGAGAGTGCAAGACACACATTTGTGGGGGGAAATCTGGGACTAGAGAATGTGCCGGTATTCCCCTGTGGTGTAATTCATGAGTGGCTGAGTAGTAGCATTCTGTACTGTGTAGCTGGGAGTGAGTTACATGCTGGACAATGTGTGTTAACTGGCCAGGAGTGGCTGTTCTCACAGCAAAGCAGTGTGAAAGGTATCCCAGGTTGGAGAACTGATGGGACACAGCTATTCGACAGTCCAGAGTGTACCCTGGGTAATGTCGCAGACACTCATTATCAAAGAGGCTCCTAAAACACACAGAAGGTAAATGAATGTCTCAGAAAGTGAAGACTCCAGACAGCGAGCAAGTCTCCCAGGAACTGCTTCTTGCTGACAGACAGGTCCAGAGACAATAAGAGAGTCCTGGGGAGTCTGGGAACAGTCAGCATAGGCCGATGGGGTTCTGTGCAGTAAGGAACAGGAAGGGCAGGGAGATCACTGAATGCAGGATCTCAGCAGTACTAGATGTCAGGAAAGTGCATACTGCGGCATTAGGGAATCTAGTGAGTCAGGTGTAACGGGAGGGAATATAAAAATCTCTGGATGTGGAGAATGCTGGGAAATTAGCCGCTATAATTCAGGAGTAACATATTCTATTTCCTCTGGAAAAGCAGAATGTGAGAAATAAGAATCAGGCCAGGTGACTTCAGGAATGATGGAGCCCAAGATCCAAGGAGCCTGCAAGGAAGAGAGATTGTGGCTATTGCAGATGGGGTTGGGGGAGCAAGTCTCTCAAGATGTTTCACTACCAACCTAGGCCATTTTCACACGCTGGGGTGCAATCTGGAGCAGTGAGGAGTTGTGTCATCTGTAATCCTGGGTGACTTTCAGTGTTCTGCTGCTGGAGCTCCCGTGTCTGGATGTTCCCAGCCAGCATTCAAGGACGCACTGAGTGTCTGTGAGATAAATAACCCTGGACCAGCAGCTCTGACTCCAGCCGCCTGCTTCTTACACCCCAGGCACATTCTGGCTTCCAGCAGGCTTGGATACACCTGGCAAGAGATAGCAACATCTGAATTTTCCCAAAATCATGTGCTCTGCAATGGCTGCTTTTTCCTGAGGAATTCAGAGGAATAATAAGGATTGCTTGCTCCTCAAAAGAGACAAATGGCCCAGCTCATCACTTCAACTGGAGTTAGCTTTCTCTTGAATTCAAAGACACCACCCAAATTCTTTAAATTAAGAGTAAAACAAGTTTAGTAACAAAAGCGTTAAGGTGAGTTTAGGTGTAAAGGAGAAAGTCAGAAATGGTTACAAGCAAGTGAAAGTGAAAAATGCTTTCTGGAGACTAGGACGACTTAACAAAACTAGTGTTGGTTCAAGGTAAGATTCTTACCATACTACTTTCCAGCAAGAGGGCAGAGCACCCCCTTACTCAACGTTAGAGCCTACAAGTCCACTCAGTCCTATTTCTTGTTCAGCTAATCTCTAAGACAAACAAGTTTGTTTATATTTACGGGAGACAATGCTGCCCACTTCTTATTTACGTCACCAGAAAGTGAGAAAAGGCGTTCGCATGGGACTTTTGTAGGCAGCATTGCAAGGTATTTACATGCCAGATATGCTAAACATTGGTATGCCCCTTAATGCTTCAGCCACCATTCCAGAGGACATGCTTCCATGCTGATGACGCTTGTTAAAAAAAATGTGTTAATTAAATTTGTGACTGAACTTCTTGGGGGAGAATTGTATTTCTCCGGCTCTGTTTTAGCCACATTCTGCCATATATTTCATGTTATAGTAGTCTCAGATGATGACTCAGCGCATGTTGTTCGTTTTAAGAACACTTTTACTGCAGATTTGACAAAATGCAAAGAAGGTATCAATGTGAGATTTCTAAAGATAGCTACAGCACTCGACCCAAGGTTTAAGAATATGAAGTGCCTTCCAAAATCTGAGAGGGACAAGGTGTGGAGCATGCTTTCAGAAGTCTTAAAAGAGCAACGCTCTGATGCGGAAACTACAGAACCTGAACCACCAAAAAAAAAAAAAAAATCACCCTTCTGCTGGTGGCATCTGACTCAGATAATGAAAATTAACATGTATCGGTCCACACTGCTTTGGATTGTTATCAAGCAGAACTCATCATCAGCAGGGACATGTCCCCTGGAACAGTGGTTGAAGCATGAAGGGACATATGAATCTTTAGCACATCTGGCATGTAAATATCTTGTGATGCTGGCTACAACAGTGCCATGCAAAGACCTGTTCTCACTTTCAGGTGACATTGTGAACAAGAAGCGGGCAGCATTATCTCCTGCAAATGTAAACAAACTCGTTCGTCTGAGTGTCTGAGCGACTGGCTGAACAAGAAATAGGACTGAGTGGACTTGTAGGCTCTAAAGTTTTACATAGTTTTATTTATTTTTGAATGGAGTTATTTTTTGTACATAATTCTACATTTGTAAGTTCAACTTCCATAATAAAGAGATTGCACTACAGTACTTCAAAAATTACTATTTTGTTTTTTACAGTGCAAATATTTGTAATGAGAAATAGTGAGCACTGTATACTTTGTATTCTGCGTTGCAATAGAAATCATTGATTTGAAAATGTAGAAAACATCCAAAAATACTTAAATAAATACTTAAAATTCTATTATTTTTAATAGTCTGATTAATCACAATTAATTTGTTTAATTGCTTGACAGCCCTAATTGGTATCTTAGGCTATATAGACAGTACAGATTACATCGGCATCAATTATGTTACATCTTCCTGAGCGACGTAAGCTACAGTGACGTGTTGGTGTGGACAGCACTATGTCAGTGGGAGAGCTTCTCCTTCCAACACAGCTACTCCTGCTCCTGGGGCCTGGAGTAATTAAGTCGATGGGAGAACTCTCTCCTGTTGGCTTAGAGTGTCAGTAGTGCAGCCATAGCCTTAAAAAGTTTAAAAAAAAGATTTGACACGGAAAGGAAACCATTTCTGTGCTAGTTTCATTTAAATTAGGACGGTTAAAAGCAGCATTTTTCTTCTGCATAATGAAGTTTAAAAGCTGTATTAAGTTGATGTTCGGTTGTAAACATTTGAAAGAAGAACTGTCATGGTTCCTTCCCCACTCTGAACTCTAGGGTACAGATGTGGGGATCTGCATGAAAACCTCCTAAGCTTACTTTTATCAGCTTAGGTTAAACTTCCCCAACGTACAAACTATTTTACCCTTTGCCCCTGGACTTCCACTGCCACCACCAAACTTTATCTGGGTTCCTGAAAAAACGTAGTTTGGACACGTCTTTCCCCCCAAAATCCTCCCAACCCTTGCACCCAACTTCCTGGGGAAGGTTTGGTAAAAATCCTCACCAATTTGCATAGATGACCACAGACCCAAACCCTTGGATCTCAGAACAATGAAAAAGCATCAGTTTTCTTACAAGACGACTTTTAATAGAAGTAAAAAGGAATCACCTCTGTAAAATCAGGATGGTAGATACCTTACAGGGTAATTAGATTCAAAACACAGAGAATCCTTCTAGGCAAAACCTTAAGTTACAAAAAAGACACACAGACAGGAATATTCATTCTATTCAGCACAGCTATTTTCTCAGCCATTTAAAGAAATCATAATCTAACGCATACCTAGCTAGATTACTTACTAAGTTCTAAGACTCCATTCCTGTTCTGTCCCCGGCAAAAGCATCACACAGACAGACACAGACCCTTTGTTTCTCTCCTTCCTCCCAGCTTTTGAAAGTATCTTGTCTCCTCATTGGTCATTTTGGTCAGGTGCCAGCGAGGTTACCTTTAGCTTCTTAACCCTTTACAGGTGAGAGGATTTTTCCTCTGGCCAGGAGGGATTTTAAAGGCGTTTACCCTTCCCTTTATATTTATGACAAGAACCATAATGTTTTGTTCAGAATTACAAACTCCATTCCCCAGGTGTTTGTAACTCTGACGTTCTACTGCACAGGTTACGACTTTAGTGAGTTGGGGTGCTCTGAAAGGTTCATGCCCACTGAAACCAACTCCTTCTTATTTCTTCCAGTCCTCCATTGCATTGCAACTCCCTATAGGACCTACTCCATGGTACATCTCCTTCCCCCTGCCTCCAGACATCCCAGCTCACAGGATCTCTTCACCCCAAACCTCCCCCCAGCACCTCTCTGCTCTCCAACACCCTCCCTCCCCATGCCTGGACCCTCCCAAGGATTGGTATTTATTATTTTTATTACCGTAATGCTCATATCCCCAGCCACTGACCATCATCCCTCTGTGCTGGATGTTCTACAGACACAGAACAAAAACACAATTCCTGCCCCATGGAGCTGACAATCTAAGAATAAGACAAGAGACAGATGGGAACAGACAGGTGGGGGAAGTGTCCCAGTTTGTACACTGAGCCAAATGCTAATGAAGAAATTGTGACATCTTCAAGAGAGGAAATTTACACGAAATAACAAAGAGAAGGATCCTGTTTATGAGGTAAGATAATGGCATGTCGAGGAATATTTAGCTGTACAGAGGTACACCCTGCATCCTCCAGCATGGCGGCAAACTGGCAGTGTGATTTGTCTCATGAACAGAAGGTCACAGCCCAGCCTGGCTGTAAAACACTGGAAGGCCTTTGTGTGAGCATTGCTGTAGGACATATGAAAGGCTCTAGGTCTGTACGTCTAGGATCTAGACAGAGTGCTCTGATTGTACTTGATGTGTAACTATTTTTTCCCAAGACTTCTCCTTGCTATCACTGGAATCTCTAGACTTCATTAATTAAACTATGACTTGTTTTCTCTCTACACACATCTCAGACTATGTCTACACGACAGAGCCACAGCTGTACTGCTGTAAGTCTCCCATGTCGCCTCTCTATGCCAACGGCAGAGCTCTCTCCTCTCGGCAGAATGAAACCCCCTACAGGCGGCGGTAGCTATGTCAGCGGGAGAGCGGCTCCCACAAGCATAGCGCTGTCCACACCACTGCTTTTGTGGGGATACTTATGTTGGTCAGGGGTGTGTTTTTTTCACACCCGCCTGACGGAAGTGTTACCGACAAAAGTGCTACTGTAGACATCGTCTAAGTGTTGTGTTAAACTGGAATATCTGTGAATCTGAGTGTACTGTGAGCGTCCAACGGAACAGGGGCTGGACTCTCCAGGGAGACTCTCAGAGGGCTCAACGGTTGGGGTATGTCTATCGCTTCCCTGCTGAGAATATTTTGAAGTGCTGTCTCCTGCCTTTCACCATATGGACTGAGCTAAACTAAATCTCTGCAAACCCAGAAAATGAAAAGTAAATGTACACCCCATCCCTGCATTGCCCCTTAACTCTGCTGCTCCCATCCTCATCCCTGCAGCTGGTAAGAGCCACTGGAAATGGTTCTCTAAGGGTAGTGCAAAGATTAACAAACTACCCCAGTCCCTGGGGTATTATCCGTCAGTTCAGGACATCAAGACTGGAATTCTTTCTGAAAATGATTTAGTCAAACAAGGTGTTCAGCTCAGTAACTGAAAGAAATTCTACAGTCTGTGTGATAGAGGAGATCAGCCTAGATGACCTAAACATCCCTTCCGGCCATAATCCCTTCTAGAGTCTATGAATCTAGAATATCTACAAGGAAGACTAAGAATATGCTGTTGTTTGTGTTGTGTTCTCCAGACGGGAATCCCAGCATTTATCCACATCCCCTCCGGCTGTGTGCACTGGGTCAGGTGTAGCTGTAATCGGACGGTGGAAGGAGTACTTGGAGCAGCTTGGCAGAGCTGTGGCTAGTATGCAGAGAGGTGCGTGTGACCCCTGAGGGACCGAGTCTGCCCCATTTCAGTGCTCAGTGTTGTAGGTTGTTTCAGTGAAAGTGCACAAGGGGGAGTTCCTGTCCTGAGGATTGCCAGCACCCTGGTGGGATACATGCTCGTGGTCTCCAGGGCTTAGTGAGGGGCAAGTGAAGGCAACGACTCAGAAGGAAACCTCATGGTGAGGGTAAGGGAGTGGGATCACTTTGCAACTCGGAGCTGGTCTGGGTGGAGTAGGCTCGGGGTTCGAGTGAGGGGCAGGGGTAGGAAGCTTCTGTTCATTATGTGGGACCCAACCCCCCGTTTTACCTGAGCAAACAGGAGATATTTGACATTCTGCTGTAGTTCTCCTGTGCTCTGTTCCCACAGTGTTGTGTAGCAGGGGAAGACACAGTGCTACCGCGTGTCATTGGCATGTTGGGGTGATGCTGAGACAGGGCTGTGTAATGGTTACATTGTAGGGGTGACATGCACCTTAATTAGTCACTTCCCCTTCTAGTAACCATGGGCACAGGAATCCTTACCCAGCGAGGTCACATTCTCGTAGTTCTCCTGCATGACGTCTCTGTAGAGGGCTCTCTGAGCGGGGTCCAGCAGAGCCCCCTCTTCCCTGGTGAAATACACAGCCACCTCCTCGAAGGTCACCGGCCCCTGAAAGAGCAAGAGCCCCACACTCAGTGCCTCCTGCCCCAGTCATAGAATCATAGAATCTCAGGGTTGGACGGGACCTCAGGAGGTATCTAGTCCAACCCCCTGCTCAAAGCAGGGCCAATCCCCAATTTTTGCCCTGGATCCCTAAATGGCCCCCTCAAGGATTGAACTCACAACCCGGGGTTTAGCAGGCCAATGCTCAAACCACTGAGCTATCCCTCCCCCTGCGAAACAACAAATGATTCGCACAGCTCTATTGGTATAAACGGTCCATGGTGGGAACAGGCCTAATTTCTGCTCTGAGGCTCTAGAAAAGTTTGATTGGTTCCATATGCGTTGAAGAGAAACATCTTCTGCTGACTGGGAATTGAACACAGGCTGCAGCACTGAGAGCACCAAATCCTAACCACTAGACCACCAGGGAAGTAAAACATCATATCCCTGCATTGGCCGGGAATCGAACCCGGGTCAACTGCTTGGAAGGCAGCTATGCTCACCGCTATACCCCCCCCAGAGGCATTGGTGGTGTCTCCTATGTGCCACTTATACCAAATGACTCACCCCCACATCTAAAGAGAGCACAGCAAAATAACCCCACTATTCGTGGGGGAAAGGAGACAGCCAAATGAAAGCTCTGGATGGTTCGTTATCAACAGAGTCCCACCCCCACACCACTCAGAGCACCCAGGAAACACCAGGGTGAGGGGCGAAGAGAGAGCCCCTCCTCTCTCCCAGCAGATCCATCACACACCTACTAGCCACAGACGGATACAGGAGATGGAGCCCCTAGCAGGGTCCAGGGCGAGCTCCCTGGTAGGAAGCCCAACACCCTCCTCCTTGTGAGGAGCTGGATATGAGGGGAGAGACATGTCTCCTGTGCCACACCTGGGGGTGCCCCCTTCATATCTCATAGTAGCTGGTGGTTAGTCAGGTCGGGCTTCAGCACTGGGAGTCTGGTTCTTCTTCCTAACCCCAGCTAGGTGTGTTGTTTCCTGTTCCACAAATTAGGGCGTTTCCACCTCCAAACCCCACGCGTCTGTGCAGTGAGACCCAGCGCAATGCTGGCCAGAAGAACTCCAGAGCTCACCTCTGGAGCCGGGACAGGATACACAGGGCTGGTCTCAGAGCACGGACAGGACCAGCTGGTTGAGCATCAGTGTCCCCCCCATAGGGAAAGGCACCGGAGCAGTCACGTCCACCTCCGCAGCCGCTCAGAGAAGGGTGGGGAAGGGGAGACACGAAACTGTCCCCTGAGGATTGTCCAAGGGAAGGGGAAACGAGACGACCCCAGGGGCGGCAGCAGTATGAGAGGTGGCCGGGAGAGAGTCGGAGAATACAACAGGGGCAGGGGCAGGAGCAGGACTGGGAACGGGATCAGGAGCAGAGGCAGAAGTGGGGTCAGTGTCCCTAGGGTACAGCACCTTTCGACTGGGTTCAGGGGCTGAGGGTACAGGGAGAGAAAGGGGGCCCTCAGTAACGCACGGTGTGGGGCAGGATGGCATCTGCAATTGGGCCCCCAGCTGGGAGGAAAGGCAGCAGTCGGCCTCAAGAGGGGGTGCACCCAGGGGCTCGGGGCCCGTGCTCTCGGCACTGCCCATCGCCACAAGGGAACTGGCGGGCGCGGGCGAGGTGCTGTCTGTGGCTGGGCAGATGGACGAGCCCAGGAACACCCCAGGGTCGAGAGTGGAGGCAGTGACCTGCGGTAGGGGAGGGAAAGGAGGCGGCAGCGGGACAAATCCGCTGCCCAGACCGAGGCCCTCTGGCAAGGGGTCGTCCTCCCGCTGGGTGACCGGGGTCAGACCCAGGGCCTCGATTTCCTGACAATTGGAGTGAAAATCTCCCCCGCCACCCCAGAGTTCTCCCCCCCCAGCAACGGAGGCAACAATTGCCTCAGCGCCGAGGGGGGCACAGATGACGAGGGGGCGGGAGGGGCTCCATCCGAGGCCCCCTCAGGGAGCGACTCCAGGCGGAGGGCGGTGCCGTTCCCCACAGCATCCTCAGCTGGCTCCACCTGTGGGCCCTCTCGGGGGGTGCGGACGGCTCGGCAGTCGCAGCCCCCCTCGGTCTTGCGGGGGGCCTCCTCCCCCTCCGCGTCAAGGGCGGTGGTGAGCCCATGCCTTCCATTTGACGCATTCCCCTCTCTCAGCACCCAGCCCCACAAGGTGGAGGCAGAGGGCTGACTAACAGGGGCCGAGCCGGGGGGACAATGAGGGGAAGAGATACCTCCCGCTGTGGTGGGCCCTCTCCCATGCCCGGCAGCAGCCCTGCTGTCCTCTCCTCCAGGGGCCCCACCAGACTGTGTCTGACGGAGGTGGGGCCCACCCCCCCGTCTGGGCACCACCCCAGTCTCTCCGGACATGCCCGTCACCTGGCAGAGGTAGCACCGGGCCTCCTCCGAAGAGTAAAGCACCTGGCAATGGGCCCCCTGGGGGGACCCCAGAAAGGACCCCTCTAGCGCCTCCAGCAGGTGGACCTGGACCTGCCAGCGGAAGGACAGGACGTGACAGAGGGCGGGGTCCTTACAGCCCAGGGGGAGGGGGCTGATGAGAGAAAGGGGTTTCCGCAGGGTGGAGAGGAAGGGCAGCAGGGGGTAGGGTGGGACTGGAGGTAAAAAGCACCCGCACACCCAGTGGTGAGCTGGAGCCGGTTCGCGCGAACTGGTTGTTAAATTTTGAAGCAGTTTTTAGAACCGGCTGTTAACCCGCTTCCCTGCCGGGGGCGCGGAGGCTCTGATGGGCTCTGGCTGGGAAGTGATGTGATTCCTCCTCCGGCCGCCGGGGGCGCTGCGCTGCGGGAGCCACGTGGGCTGCCCCCTGGCCCTGGGCACGAGCCCTGGGCACGAGCTGCTGCTCCCCCTCCCCCTCCCCCTGGGGCTCCCGCTGCTGCCTGGTGGGTCCCCGGCTGCTCTGCTGGGCCTGGGCTGCGTCCTGCTGCTCTCCCCGTGAGCGCCCGCCACCCTGCCCGCAGCCAGCCCCCGCCTCCCGCCACCCCCGCACCCCCTGCCCTGCCCGCAGCCAGCCCCCGCCTCCCGCCACCCCCGCACCCACTGCCCGCAGCCACCCCCACACCCCCTGCCCGCAGCCAGCCCCCACCTCCAGCCACCCCCTGCACCCTCTGCCCGCAGCCACCCCCGCACCCCCTGCCCTGCCCGCAGCCAGCCCCCGCACCCCCTGCCCGCAGCCACCCCCCGCGCCCCCTGCCCGCAGCCAGCCCCCGCCTCCAGCCACCCCCGCACCCCCTCCCGCAGCCAGCCCCCGCCTCCAGCCACCCCCTGCACCCCTCCCCAGCCAGCCCCCGCCTCCACCACCCCCTGCACCCTCTGCCCCAGCCACCCCCACACCCCTCCCTGCCCGCAGCCAGCCCCCGCCTCCCCCACCCCCCACCCCTGCCCCAGCCGCCCCTCACCCCTACCCGCACCAGCCCCCGCCTCCAGCCACCCCCGCACCCACTCCCCACACCCCTCACCCCTCCCGCAGCCAGCCCCCGCCTCCCGCCACCCCCGCACCCCCTGCCCTGCCCGCAGCCAGCCCCCGCCTCCAGCCACCCCCTCACCCTCTGCCCCAGCCAGCCCCTGCACCCCTACCCGCAGCCAGCCCCGCCCCCCCACCCCCCACCCCCTGCCCGCAGCCACCTCTCACCCCTGCACCCCCTACCCGCAGCCACCCCCGCCTCCACCACCCCCCACCCACTCCCACCACCCCTGCACCCCTGCCCGCAGCCAGCCCCCGCCTCCCGCCACCCCCGCACCCCCTGCCCGCAGCCAGCCCCTGCACCCCCTACCCGCAGCCAGCCCCCGCCTCCAGCCACCCCCGCACCCACTGCCCGCAGCCAGCCCCTGCACCCCCTGCCCGCAGCCAGCCCCCGCCTCCAGCCACCCCCTGCACCCTCTGCCCGCAGCCACCCCCGCACCCCCTGCCCTGTCCGCAGCCAGCCCCCGCCTCCAGCCACCCCCGCACCCTCTGCCCGCAGCCAGCCCCCGCCTCCAGCCACCCCCTGCACCCTCTGCCCGCAGCCAGCCCCCGCCTCCAGCCACCCCCTGCACCCCCTGCCCGCAGCCAGCCCCCGCCTCCAGCCACCCCCTGCAGCCCCTGCCAGCAGCCAGCCCCCGCCTGCAGCCACCCCCCGCACCCCCTGCCTGCAGCCACCCCCTGCCCTGCCCACAGCCACCCCCTGCCGCACCCCCTGCCCTGCCTGCACCAGCCCCTGCCTCCAGCCACCCCCTGCACCCTCTGCCCGCAGCCACCCCCACACCCCCTGCCCTGCCCGCAGCCAGCCCCCGCCTCCCGCCACCCCCGCACCCCCTGCCCGCAGCCAGCCCCTGCACCCCCTGCACCCCCTACCCGCAGCCAGCCCCCGCCTCCAGCCACCCCCGCACCCACTGCCCGCAGCCAGCCCCTGCACCCCCTGCCCGCAGCCAGCCCCCGCCTCCCGCCACCCCCGCACCCCCTGCCCTGCCCGCAGCCAGCCCCCGCCTCCAGCCACCCCCTGCACCCTCTGCCCGCAGCCACCCCCCGCACCCCCTGCCCTGCCCGCAGCCAGCCCCCGCCTCCAGCCACCCCCCGCACCCCCTGCCCGCAGCCAGCCCCCCGCCTCCAGCCACCCCCTGCACCCTCTGCCCGCAGCCAGCCCCCGCCTCCAGCCACCCCCGCACCCCCTGCCCGCAGCCAGCCCCCGCCTCCAGCCACCCCCGCACCCCCTGCCCGCAGCCAGCCCCCGCCTCCAGCCACCCCCTGCAGCCCCTGCCAGCAGCCAGCCCCCCGCCTCCAGCCACCCCCTGCAGCCCCTGCCCGCAGCCACCCCCTGCCCTGCCCACAGCCACCCCCTGCCGCACCCCCTGCCCTGCCTGCACCAGCCCCTGCCTCCAGCCACTCCCGCACCCCCTGCCCTGCCTGCAGCCAGTCCCTGCCTCCAGCCACCCCCGCACCCCCTGCCCACAGCCAGCCTCTGCCACACCCCCTGCCTGAGGATCAGAACCCATATACTGACTGGGGTTCTTGCCTGTTAGGGAGGTCGGGACACTGACACCTGGACTGTTAATTCCCCTGAGACTAGGCAGTGATCCCGAGGACGTGGTGAGGACTCCCTCCGACCCAGACGGAGAGGGACGATTCCACCACCACTGCAGTCTGTTCCTAGAATCTAGGCCACTCATTAAACAAATCCCAGCAGGTTTGTCACACCCCGTCCTCCTCCCTTCCTCCACCCTGTGTATTTCCTGCCCCGCTCCAACCTCCAAACCAGACGGGGCAAAGCTTCCCACCTCCTGTGTACTTACTGTCCCTCTCCCTCCTGCAGGAGCCCACCAGCAACCCCCCGATAATCCCTACCTGAGCTGGCTCCTCTGCAGCCATTTCTCTCCCCTGTCCCATGGGAGGACGGGATCAGCCGGAGGGAAACGTGGGCGTCATTCTGCAGCCTGGCAGGGCGAGAAGGGCCGTTGTGCAGGTTTAGGAACGGGCTTTAGTTCATTTCACATCACGCTTCCCCCAGGCCCTTTCCTTGCAGACAGACAGCCTAGATTCTGCCATGCTGGGAAAATGCTTGTTCTCTGTATTACAGTGTAGACCTGGCCCCTCCTGCCAGGCTAAGCCCACAGAGACATTTTTAAGCCCCCCCAGTAACAAAGTGTCTGAACAGAATGCTAGAAAAGAGCAGAAAGAAAGGAGTCACTTTGGGGGAGTGCCTCTGACACTGATCCCCGAGGAGGGGCACACCCCAGCAGGAGGAATGTGGAGTCAGGAACTGGCTTTTGCTCTCTCTGATCCTCACCTTGTCCACAGCAAAGTGATTCTGCCCAGGGATGCTGCAATACATGTGACTGGGCAGATCAGAGATCTCTACCCACTCATTTCTCCCACTGCCCCTTTCAGTCACATTCTTCTTTCCCCTTCTATCTCCTTTCCCATGTCCCCTCTCCCTGCCTCTGTGGCTCGGAAAGTCCCATCCCTGGGATGTTTACTCTCCCACGGCTGGATTTTTTCCTGGAAATGGCTAATGGGAGGAGAAATGAGGAGAAGCTATTTGGCGTGAAAGTGACTCTGCCTAATCCCCAGCACTTTCCCTGCGGGTCTCACACTTTTCTGGAATCTCTGGCTAAAAGTTTACTATTAGCAGAGACTAGGGCTGCCCCCAGGGGCTAGTACCAGCTGGAGAAAGTCAATTCCCAGCTCCCGCTCTGCGCGCGCACACACAAAAACAAAAATGTGGTCTCCCAGATCACAATGGAGGCTGCAGCCTCTGACCCAGGAAGCTGAATCCTAATATCCAGGAGAGAGAGTCTGAGCAGCCTTCCCTCTTTTAGCAACAACCAGAGCTCTGTGGTAAGAGCAGCAAATTAAACCACCTCCCCAGAGGGACAGTTGTTCATGTCACTCCTTGTCTTTCCTTGCAGTGACTCCGGATTAACACTGGTCTCAATGACACCAGAAGCACAGTTCAGAAAGGATGAGGCCAGAATCCCCTTCAACAGATCACTAGGTGCAAGTGCTAATCCCCTTCCCTCCTCCCTCACCCCTAAGATGTAGGACAAGGACTCGGGGTAAGAATTTTCCCTACAGAACCTGAAGTTCCTGCAGTTTTCCAGAGGGAAGAGAAGAAAAAAATCTGTTGGTGGTTTCACCTCACCGTGTTTGATAAGTGGATAGAAAGTTACCACCCTCCTTGCCCCGCTGGCCAGTCGCCCAAAGAGGGATTTGGTGGGTATTAAATATGTGGCTAGTCTCGTTCATCGGCAAACCTTTTAACAGAGATAACGGGGGGGACAAACGAGTCTCAACGGAGAGGGGGAAGACGATCACTGGGCAGCTTAACCCCCTGCGATCTCCAGGACGGAGAAGGACTCAGGCCCACGGGTCCCCTCCAAGGAAGGAGACGCTGCTGGGGTTTAGAGACCTGGGGAAGAGCCCCGAACCCGAGAGGATTTTTCACTGATGTTGGATGATGACCTGGAACGAGGCCAAAGCTGGGAGGCGAGACCCGCGGTCAGACAAGGCCGGGGAACCGGCGGGATTTCTGAGAGGAGGTCAAGTCGGAGCGCGTGTCCCTGCAATGATGGACTCGGGGGAAAGGGGCGACGCTGGCAGAGATCGGATGCCCCCGGTGACGAGCTGCGGGGGCAGGGGAAACGCAGAGGCGTGGTTGGTGTGTTATCATGCCAAGAGCGGAGGGGATTTCGGGGGGGGGGGGCGGAAGGGGGAGGTGCGGGAGGCAGTTTGAAGGGATTTTTTGGGACGGGACAGTGACGTCTCCCCCCCATTCACAGGGGCTGCAGGGAGCCCAGGGGGGCAGTGTGAAGGGGGGCGGGAAGATCCCTGGCCCAGGGAAGGGGGCAGCCAGCGGGGGGAGGGACGGGTGACGGGGAGGGGGGGGTCTGGGGGCTGCCAGCAGGGGAGGGGCGGGTGACGGGGGTCTGGGGCCGCCAGCGGGGAGGGGCGGGTGACGGGGGTCTGGGGGCAGCCAGTGGGGGAGGGGGCGGGTGACAGGGCGGGGGGTCTGGGGGCCGCCAGCGGGGGAGGGGCGGGTGACGGGGTGGGGGGGGTCTGGGGGCCGCCAGCGGGGGAGGGGCGGGTGGGGGGGGTTTGAGGGCCGCCAGGGGGAGGGGGCGGGTGACGGGGGTCTGGGGGCCGCCAGGGGGAGGGGCGGGTGACGGGGCAGGGGGGTCTGGGGGCCGCCAGTGGGGGAGGGGCGGGTGACGGGGCGGGGGGGTCTGGGGGCCGCCAGCGGGGGAGGGGCGGGTGATGGGGGTCTGGGGGCCGCCAGTGGGGGAGGGGCGGATGACGGGGTCTGGGGGCTGCCAGTGGCGGAGGGCGGATGACGGGGCGGGGGGGTCTGGGGGCCGCCAGGGGAGGGCGGGTGATGGGGCGGGGGGTCTGGGGCCGCCAGTGGGGGAGGGGCGGGTGACGGGGGTCTGGGGCTGCCAGTGGGGGAGGGGCGGGTGACGGGGCGGGGGGGCCTGGGGGCAGCCAGCAGGGGAGGGGCGGGTGATGGGGCTGGGGGGGTCTGGGGGCTGCCAGTGGGGGAGGGGCGGATGACGGGGGTCTGGGGGCTGCCAGTGGCGGAGGGGCGGATGACGGGGCGGGGGTCTGGGGCCGCCAGGGGAGGCGGGTGATGGGGCGGGGGGTCTGGGGCCGCCAGTGGGGGAGGGGCGGGTGACGGGGGTCTGGGGGCTGCCAGTGGGGGAGGGGCGGGTGACGGGGCGGGGGGGCCTGGGGGCAGCCAGCAGGGGAGGGGCGGGTGATGGGGCTGGGGGGGTCTGGGGGCTGCCAGTGGGGGAGGGGCGGATGACGGGGGTCTGGGGGCTGCCAGTGGCGGAGGGGCGGATGACGGGGCGGGGGGTCTGGGGGCCGCCAGGGGGAGGGGCGGGTGATGGGGCGGGGGGGTCTGGGGGCCGCCAGTGGGGGAGGGGCGGGTGACGGGGGTCTGGGGGCTGCCAGTGGGGGGAGGGGCGGGTGACGGGGCGGGGGGGCCTGGGGGCAGCCAGCAGGGGAGGGGCGGGTGATGGGGCGGGGGGGTCTGGGGGCAGCCAGCGGGGGAGGGGGCGGGTGACGGGGCGGGGGGGGTCTGGGGGCCGCCAGGGGGGAGGGGCGGGTGACGGGGCGGGGGGGGCCTGGGGGCAGCCAGGGGGGAGGGGCGGGTGACGGGGCGGGGGGGGGGTCTGGGGGCCGCCAGCGGGGGGAGGGGCGGGTGACGGGGCGGGGGGGGTCTGGGGGCAGCCAGCGGGGGAGGGGCGGGTGACGGGGCGGGGGGGGTCTGGGGGCAGCCAGCGGGGGAGGGGCGGGTGACGGGGCGGGGGGGGTCTGGGGGCAGCCAGCGGGGGAGGGGCGGGTGACGGGGCGGGGGGGGTCTGGGGGCCGCCAGCGGGGGAGGGGCGGGTGATGGGGGTCTGGGGGCCGCCAGTGGGGGAGGGGCGGATGACGGGGGTCTGGGGGCTGCCAGTGGCGGAGGGGGCGGATGACGGGGCGGGGGGGTCTGGGGGCCGCCAGGGGGAGGGGCGGGTGATGGGGCGGGTGGGTCTGGGGGCCGCCAGTGGGGGAGGGGGCGGGTGACGGGGGTCTGGGGGCTGCCAGTGGGGGAGGGGGCGGGTGACGGGGCGGGGGGGGCCTGGGGGCAGCCAGCAGGGGAGGGGCGGGTGATGGGGCGGGGGGGGTCTGGGGGCCGCCAGTGGCGGAGGGGGCGGATGACGGGGGCGGGGGGGGGCTGGGGGCCGCCAGGGGGGAGAGGCGGGTGATGGGGCGGGGGGGGGGGGTCTGGGGGCCGCCAGTGGGGGAGGGGCGGGTGACGGGGGTCTGGGGGCTGCCAGTGGGGGGGGGGGGGGTGACGGGGCGGGGGGGGGCTGGGGGCAGCCAGCAGGGGAGGGGCGGGTGATGGGGCGGGGGGGGGTCTGGGGGCTGCCAGTGGGGGAGGGGCGGATGACGGGGGTCTGGGGGCCGCCAGCGGGGGGGAGGGGCGGATGACGGGGCGGGGGGTCTGGGGGCCGCCAGGGGGGAGGGGCGGGTGATGGGGGGGGGGGGCCTGGGGGCCGCCAGTGGGGAGGGGGCGGGTGACGGGGGTCTGGGGGCTGCCAGTGGGGGAGGGGGGCGGTGACGGGGCGGGGGGGGCCTGGGGGCAGCCAGCGGGGGAGGGGGCGGGTGACGGGGCGGGGGGGGTCTGGGGGCCGCCAGTGGGGGAGGGGCGGGTGACGGGGTGGGGGGGCTGGGGGCCGCCAGTGGGGGAGGGGCGGGTGACGGGGTGGGGGGGGTCTGGGGGCTGCCAGTGGGGGGGGGGGCGGGTGACAGGGGCGGGGGGGCTGGGGGCCGCCAGCGGGGGAGGGGGCGGGTGACGGGGCGGGGGGGTCTGGGGGCAGCCAGCGGGGGAGGGGCGGGTGACGGGGCGGGGGGCCTGGGGGGCAGCCAGGGGGAGGGGGGGGCGGGTGACGGGGCGGGGGGCCTGGGGGCAGCCAGCGGGGGAGGGGGCGGGTGACGGGGCGGGGGGGGGGGGTCTGGGGGCCGCCAGCGGGGGAGGGGCGGGTGACGGGGCGGGGGGCCTGGGGGCAGCCAGCGGGGGAGGGGGGGGTGACGGGGCGGGGGGGGGGTCTGGGGGCGCCAGCGGGGGGAGGGGGCGGGTGACGGGGCGGGGGGGCCTGGGGGCAGCCAGCGGGGGAGGGGCGGGGGGGGTCTGGGGGCCGCCAGCGGGGAGAGGGGCGGGTGACGGGGCGGGGGGGGCCTGGGGGCAGCCAGCGGGGGGAGGGGCGGGTGATGGGGCGGGGGGGGTCTGGGGGCTGCCAGTGGGGGAGGGGGCGGGTGACGGGGGTCTGGGGGCCGCCAGCGGGGGAGGGGCGGGTGACGGGGCGGGGGGGCCTGGGGGCAGCCAGCGGGGGAGGGGCGGGTGACGGGGCGGGGGGGGAGGGGCACAGACAGGGACCGGATCCAATTAATTCCCCCCCCCCGGGGATTTCCTGCCGCCCAGGGACAGTTCAGCCCCCCCCGGCTCCGGCTCCGGCTCTTACCGGCTTCCGGGGCCTCAGCGCACCGGGCAGAACGGGCCGGGGGGGGAGGGGGCGCGAGGCGCGCGGCACAGGCCGGAAGTGACGCACCCGGCGAGCGCGGCGCGAGGCGGGTCCGTTAGGACGGTTGGAGCCACAGCGCGCCGCGCGCGGGGGGCGGAGCCGGGAGCGGCCCCGCCCCCGCTCCCCCGGCCCGTTCTGGGGGCGGGGCCTGGGCGGGGCCGGGGAATATCCGTGGGGCAGGAGGGGGGGGGGGCTGGGGGAGGGAAGGAGGCTGGTGGGGGGTGACGGGGGAGGGGTATGCTGGGGCAGGAATATCAGTGGGGCAGGAGGGGGTGGGGGGCTGGGGGAGGGAAGAAGGAGGCTGGTGGGGGGGTGAGGGGGAGGGACATGGTGGGGGCGGGGCAGGAATATCAATGGGGCAGGAGGAGGCTGGGGGGAGGGAAGGAGGCTGGTGGGGGGTGACGGGTATGCTGGGGCAGGAATATCAGTGGGGCAGGAGGGGGTGGGGGGAGGGAAGAAGGAGGCTGGCTGGGGGGGTGAGGGGGAGGGACATGGTCGGGGCGGGGCAGGAATATCAATGGGGCAGGAGGGGGCTGGGGGGAGGCAAGGAGGCTGGTGGGGGGTGACGGGGGAGGGCTATGCTGGGGCAGGAATATCAGTGGGGCAGGAGGGGGTGGGGGGCTGGGGGAGGGAAGAAGGAGGCTGGTGGGGGGGGGTGAGGGGGGAGGGACATGGTGGGGCGGGGGCAGGAATATCAGTGGGGCAGGAGGGGGTGGGGGGCTGGGGGAGGGAAGAAGGAGGCTGGTGGGGGGGTGAGGGGGAGGGACATGGTGGGGGCGGGGCAGGAATATCAATGGGGCAGGAGGGGGTTGGGGGGAGGGAAGAAGGAGGCTGGCGGGGGGGAGTGATGGGGTGGTGATGGGGGAGGGACATGGTGGGGGCGGGGCAGGAGGGGGCTGGGGAGGGGCTCAGAGCACCTCTGTGTGGTCCGGCTCAGGGCTTGGCCCTGGCTGGCTGAGGCTCTGGGGTTCTTGGGTGGCGGCCATGGGGGTGGGGTGGGGTCTTGGGCAGAAGAGGCGGGGCAGGGGGCTCACCGCCCCATACCAGGGGTGCCCCTGCCGCCCCTAAGAATCCCATACAACCCTTTCAGACTTTCCCGTTCTCCCCTCAAATTATTGACCCGCCCTCAGATCTCGGTGTTTTGATCTTATATTATCCAATCTTTCGGTTTTGACCCGTTTTCTCCCCCGTTCTGCAGGACTGATCTGAAGTGCCGCGAGCGGCCAGGTGGGTGAGGTGACGCTGTCGCTGGACCGTGTCCGTTGGTGGAAGAGAAGCATTGGAGCTCCACAGAGCTTCTCCTCAGGTCTGGGAAGGTTCTGAGTGGAGCCGAAGCGTGAGAAATTAACCCATGTCGCCAGACACGCTTCCAGCTGAAGTGGGCCATGACCGCCTTGCGCTCGTCGGAGAATTCGTGGATTACAGATGGTTCCAGTGAGACCTGTAACCAGCGTCTCTTTTTTTTTCTTGGTTTGGTTGTTGAGAGCCCGATTTGTAGAGTTTAGCAACGTTATGCATTTCAGCTCCCAGGCTCGTCTTTTGAAGGGGTTTTGCAGGTTTCCTTCGCGGGCTCAGCCTGAGAGGTGAGATCTTGAGTGATCACGTTGTGAGGAGGGTTCGTCCACGGGTGATGGGGTGGTTTTGTCTTCTATTATTTGTCTGTGTGAGTTCGTGGATCTCGGCAGGTGTGTTTTGTGGGGTCGCAGCAGGGGAGACATGGCGGCAGGTTTGGTAACCATTGTGCTGGCGGAGTCTGGTGCAGCTTTGAGTTGGTGTGTCCCGGTCTGTAGGGAGTCTGGTTGGGCTGATGAGGTTGGGGGCCAGAAGAGTGGGTTGCGGAAAGATTTCTTTCAGGGTGTGGAAAGAATTGGGTCTGGATTGTAATTCTTTGCTGATCCCCCACATGGGTTGTAGCGTGGAGTGGTGGCTGACCATTAGTGGGGTTGTCAATGTGTTTTTCTGTATTGAAGCAGGTTCTCTCGAGGTATGAGGGGGCCCATTCCATGATGCCCTGGCGATGGTCTGGTTGCTCAGGGAATTAGCTCTGTCAGCAGGGCGCCTTCCTCTTGTGGTGTCTCACTCTCTGTTGCTCCATCTCCACTGGCTGTGGGGACCCGTATCGCTTCCGGGATGCGGCATCCTCTTCACGGCCCAGCCCTCCAGCTGTGCCTCAACTCCACTCAACTCCCTTCCAGGGGAACCGGCAGTCCTTCGCCCGGACTCTCGTGGCAGTGGTGAACTGCAGCCCCTAGCCAGTCTTTAGGCTGGCCACTTCCCTCGATGCCCAGTGGGGCAAAGGGGGGGGCCAGGCCCACCCGCTACTCTGGGCCGCCACAGCTGGCAGCTGCTCGCTACCTCTCCTTCCCCCCGCCGCTACCTGCTTTCCCTGGGCCACTTCCCCATAACCCCAGCACCTACTCAGCCCCTGTGTCAAGGCCTCAGTCTGGGAGCCAGCCAGGCTGGAGCTCCGCTTGCTCCCCTGACCCTGTCCAGCACGGCTCTGTCCCAGGCACTTCTCTCTGTGGACGGCCAGGCCTTCTCCCTCAAGCTGGTTGCTCAGGGAAGAAGGAGGATCCTGAGAACTACAGGCCAGTCAGCCTCACTTCAGTCCCTGGAAAAATCATGGAGCAGGTCCTCAAAGAATCAATCCTGAAGCACTTGCATGAGAGGAAAGTGATCAGGAACAGCCAGCATGGATTCACCAAGGGAAGGTCATGCCTGACTAATCTAATTGCCTTTTATGATGAGATTACTGGTTCTGTGGATGAAGGGAAAGCAGTGGATGTATTGTTTCTTGACTTTAGCAAAGCTTTTGACACGGTCTCCCACAGTATTCTTGTCAGCAAGTTAAGGAAGTATGGGCTGGATGAATGCACTACAAGGTGGGTAGAAAGCTGGCTAGATTGTCGGGCTCAACGGGTAGTGATCAATGGCTCCATATCTAGTTGGCAGCCGGTATCAAGTGGAGTCGGTCCTGGGGCCGGTTTTGTTCAATATCTTCATAAATGATCTGGAGGATGGTGTGGATTGCACTCTCAGCAAATTTGCGGATGATACTAAACTGGGAGGAGTGGTAGATACGCTGGAGGGGAGGGATAGGATACAGAAAGACCTAGACAAATTGGAGGATTGGGCCAAAAGAAATCTGATGAGGTTCAATAAGGATAAGTGCAGGGTCCTGCACTTAGGACGGAAGAACCCAATGCACAGCTACAGACTAGGGACCGAATGGCTAGGCAGCAGTTCTGCAGAAAAGGACCTAGGGGTGACAGTGGACGAGAAGCTGGATATGAGTCAGCAGTGTGCCCTTGTTGCCAAGAAGGCCAATGGCATTTGGGGATGTATAAGTAGGGGCATAGCGAGCAGATCGAGGGACGTGATCGTTCCCCTCTATTCGACATTGGTGAGGCCTCATCTGGAGTACTGTGTCCAGTTTTGGGCCCCACACTACAAGAAGGATGTGGATAAATTGGAGAGAGTCCAGCGAAGGGCAACAAAAATGATTAGGGGACTGGAACACATGAGTTATGAGGAGAGGCTGAGGGAGCTGGGATTGTTTAGCCTGCAGAAGAGAAGAATGAGGGGGGATTTGATAGCTGCTTTCAACTACCTGAAAGGGGGGTTCCAAAGAGGATGGCTCTAGACTGTTCTCAATGGTAGCAGATGACAGAACGAGGAGTAATGGTCTCAAGTTGCAGTGGGGGAGGTTTAGGTTGGATATTAGGAAAACCTTTTTCACTAGGAGGGTGGTGAAACACTGGAATGCGTTACCTAGGGAGGTGGTAGAATCTCCTTCCTTAGAGGTTTTTAAGGTCAGGCTTGACAAAGCCCTGGCTGGGATGATTTAACTGGGAATTGGTCCTGCTTTGAGCAGGGGGTTGGACTAGATGACCTTCTGGGGTCCCTTCCAACCCTGATATTCTATGATTCTAAGCTCCAGGGAGAGACTGAGCTCCTTGCTGCCCTGCAGCCCTTTTTATAGGGCCCAGCCTGGCCCTGATTGGCTGCTTCAAAGCCTTCCTATGATTGCCTGGTGGCTGCTATTAACCCTTTGCCAGCCAGTGTGGGGCAGCTGCCCCATCACAGGGAGACCCCAGGAAATCCCTCCAGCCTTGCACCCCAGAAATGTACCGTCTTACACTGCTCAAGACCTTCTCTGGAACAGTGCAAGCTCATTAATTAGTTTGCTGCTTCATCAAAGGAAAATGGATATGCACCAGCCTTTGTAATCTGAGCAGATTCCTCAAAGCACTTTAGACGTACTCACTAGTCCGTGTAAAACATTAAAATAAGTTTATTAACTACACAAAGATAGATTTCCAGTGATTATAAGTGGTAGGCATAAAGGTCAGAGATACTTTTTATTTCCTTAAGGTAACTAAACACTCATTTTAAATCCTAAACTTTTAGAGTTGAATCAAACAGCCTTTCTCACCCTAATAGATGTTACCAGTAGCTCATCGCTCTTAATACATGGGCTGAATTTCCTTCTCAGCCCCGAACCAATCTCCCCAGTTCAAAGTCTTTGTCTTCCCAGTGTTCTTGTTGTCGTCAACGTAGCTGGGGGAGGAGTTATGGGCAGGGTGCATGTGATGGGGCTGTAGGCTGGGAACCTATGGGGTAGTGTTCTGATGGTCTGTGGATGTGGGTCTAGGATGTGCTGGGGTTCTTTTAGGGGACAGAGGGGAGGGGACAGGGAGTGGATGGGGTGGCAGAGGTATGTGGGGTGTGAGGGGTGCTGGAGTTCTTCTGAGGGGTGCTTAGGGTGGGGGGCTCTGAATGGAACTGGGGTTCTTGTGGGGATGGGGGCTACATAGAAGGTGAGTGTGACTTGGAGTGTCAGTCGCTAAAAGCTGCGTAGTACAAACAAGGCCTAACCAAGATTTGAATCAAACAGTCTCTCACCCTAATAGATGTTACAGGCAACTCACAGTTCTCATTACTCAGACTGAACTCCCTTCCAGCCTGGGGCCAATCTCCCTACTTCAAAGTCGTTGTCCTCCAGACATTGACAGTGGGGGTGGGGGGAGGAAGGGAGAGAGGCCAAGTGATGATGTCACTGTCCCTCTTTTATACTTTCTTCCAGCTCCTAGAAAGATCCTTGCTGTGACATCGGCTAGGCTGTCCCCCTTACGTATGTGCCCTCTCTAAGCAGCCTCTGGGAGAGTGGATTCTTCTTGATGGGCCATCAACGCCCGTCTGGCCAGCGACAGCTGTTCCTCTGTTGCAACCGAAAGGCTGGCTCTGGGCATTTCCCAACCTCACAACGTATTTCAGTAACACATACAGCAGTACGCCACAACTTCACATACAAAGATAGTACCTACAATTCAACAAGGTATTAAGGTTCAACAGACCAAGACTTTTAAAACGACACTTCACAAGGCATGCATTGTACAAACATATCAAGCATATGACAGTGGTGAATATGGGGATTCCAGGGTGCTACTGTCACACACACCCCCCATGTAGACAGTGCCATATTGGCGGGAGAGCTTCTCCTGCTGATAAAGCTACCACCTCTTGGGGAGGTGGATTAACTAAACTGATGGGAGAGCTCTCTCCTTTCACCTTAGAGCTTCTTCATTAAAGCACTAGAGCAGCGCAGTTACATCGGTGCAGCTGTGCCGATGCAGCATTTGAAGGGTAGACGAGCCCCAAGACACAAAACCCTAGAATCAGAACTCGAACATTTGTGTGTCCTGCAGAGCCAAATGAACATGTCATTCATGACCATCGTTTCCACAGCATGCAAGTGGCAGCCAGTTTGGGATTCACAGGGAAGGAATGTCCTTGGAAGGACTCTCTCTCTCTCTCGATTTGCCTCATGAAACTTTGGCTCCAAATGGTGAAAGATCAGTGTTCTCAAACTAAGCATGGCGTCCTTTGGGACCGTAATCCGTGACACTGAACTAGGAAGTCGTGTTGTACAAACAATGTTCCTTGGGCCATTGGTCACCTTAGCTTCCTTTGCTGGGTGAAAACCAAGAACTGGGTGTGTACTATTTCTACCCCCCCTTCTTTCCTAATCCTTGGCCATGGCTAGGGTACATTTACACGTCTCTGAAGTAGAACCCTTTATCAAACCACTCAAAATCTCAGCACTGCTAGTGTGGAACGGCTTCTCCAAACACATCCAGGGTTTCTTTAACTTGGTGGCATGGGTCTAGGCTAGGAACTAAATACAGGTCTGGACCAAAATCTCTGTAAGTTACCAGAGGTGGAGTTTCTATTCAAAAATAGATATTTTTCTGCAGCTATTCTGTGGCTTTCATTCCCTGAGCTGCCTGGGGCTGAAGTTCTCGGGCTTCGGCTTCCACCAGGGGGGAGGGGCATGTCATGTATTAATTTTTGGTGTCAGAAGGGGGGTCACATTGCAATGAAGTTTGAGAACCGCTGGCTTAAACAACTGAACTCCACTGTGATCATCTGCACTTGCTTCAGTTCGTTGCACAGTTTGGGTCTGCTGCTGTTCACCATTTCTAAGTGGAGAGTTCAAATCACTGCTGTTTCTTTGTTAGCATGTCCAGTAAATGGGAGAGTTCTCTCCTGTTGACTGAACTCCACTTGAACTTTCTCCATGTCATCATGTAGAGGTGGGGAAAAAGCAAAAGTAAAGTGAGAAGTAATGACTTTAACAAATGGTCATTTATCTCAAAGTCGCCAATAAATCTGAGCTACATCCTGTCAAACTAAACTAATATCGAATTAGGTGACCAAACAGCCTTCAGGAAAGATAGACAACCACATCACAGATATATAGAACACATGAAAATGAAGGTCTCAAGTGAAATTCCAGAGCAGGTTACATCTGATGACTCAGAACTGGGACAAGAGATTCTCCCATCACATTCTCCTCTGATCCATTCAAACCTGTTTCATTCAGCACTGTTGAGTTATGTTATTTACAAAAGTTCTAGCATTCTCATAACGAGGGGAAAAAACAGCCAATCTTCCCCCAAGTGGCTTGGCCAATAGTTGGAAACTGGAATTTAAACTCCAAATGATCCCACACTGTTTGGGATCCATTTGAATCCCCCTTTCATCTCCAGTCATAGTGACTCTGATATAGGATTAAAGAAGTCAAAGCATCCTCTCCAAGAACAGACAGCTGAGAACACTGCACCACACGACACTTTGAGAGGTGGAGGGATAGAATGTGAAGAAGATAAATTCTGCATGGCTCAAAAAGGAGGTAACCGTTCTGGAGTGATGGGGAAGGAGGGAATCTCTCTGAGTCACCGCATCGCCTTCCAGTGTCACCAAGGCTGAAATGACATTTTTTTCCCTTGCCACTGCTCCTCTTCATTTAAAATACATTTAAATATAATGAGGAAGAAAGGTCCACACAATAACTGCTCTTCAGCACAACCCAGAGCAACGTGAGAACAACTGAGAATGAAACAATCTGTATCATTCATGACCCTAACAATTACTCTGCAATAGGAGGAACAGTACAAATGTGATGCTCCTTGTTTCCTGGAAGAAGGGACACACTCCCATTACTCATGGGACAATGGAGTGGATAGCAAGGACAACCGGGTCCGCCCCAAACCAGGATGAAATGCAAACGGCAAAAATGTGCAACTCATCCGGACAAGCTGAGGGATAACAGTGCTGCAACCGGTTCAAACAGCCTTACAGGTTACTTCATGGGAATTAACAAAAGTATTAAAGAAAAAAATGGCTAGATAGCCCTAGAGGTCTTTATGGTGTTTCTCTCCCTTGCAGATTCTCTGATGATATTTAAGGGATGAGCTCTGAGTGAACCTTGTCCCACACTCACGGCATTCATAGGGTTTCTCTCCTGTGTGGATTCTTTCATGTCTAGTAAGTTCTGACAACTGAATGAAGGTCTTCTCACACTCACAGCACTCATAGGGTTTCTCACCTGTGTGGTTTCTCTGATGCCTAATGAGGTGTGAGTGCTGAATGAAGGTTTTCCCGCACTCAGAGCATACATAAGGCCTCTCCCCCGTGTGCATTCTTTGATGTATAATGAGGTCTGAGCTCTGCGTGAAGCTTTTCCCACACTCGCAGCATTTATAGGGTTTCTCACCTGTGTGGTTTCTCTGATGCCTAATGAGGTGTGAGTGCTGAATGAAGCTTTTCCTGCACTCAAAGCATTCGTAAGGTCTCTCCCCCGTGTGGATTCTCTGATGTCTAGTAAGCTCAAAGCTCTGACTGAAGGTTTTCCCGCACTCGCAGCATACGTAGGGTCTCTCTCCCGTGTGGATTCTGTGATGTTTAAGAAGGGCTGAGCTGTCCGTGAAGCTTTTTCCACATTCTCCGCATTCATAGAGCCCCTGCCCCGTGTGGACTTTGTGATGCTTAGTAAGGTGTGAGCTGTCAGTGAAGCTTTTCCCGCACGCGCTGCATTCATAGGGCCTCTCCCCAGAATGGATTCTCTGGTGTGTAATAAGGCTTGAGTTGTTAGTGAAGGTTTTCCCGCACTCACAGCATTCGTAGGGTCTTTCCCCTGTGTGGATTCTCTGATGTCTAATAAGGGATGAGCAGTGGGTAAAGTTTTTCCCACACTCAGTGCATGTAGTTTTTCTCTTTCCCCTGAGGCTTTCCTGCTGGGCTGTGGTTTCCTTCAAGTCCTTCTGAGTTCCCCCACAGTAAATTAATTTCCCCATTTTCTCCTCTGGCTGGTTTCCCTGCTCTCTCTCTGGTCTGTGCTGAATCTCACAGGCTGTTCCCTGCTCACGACTCCTGGACACATTCCCTTTCGATCTTTGCGATAATGCTCCCTGTGATTCCACTTGCTCAGCATCTTCCTGCTGAGAATTCTGCTCCTCATTTTCACTCACCATCCCAGCACCTGCTGGGACAAAGAGAGAAACCTCAAACAGGGATGGAAAAGGGAAGACCAAACCAAAATAAGTGCTGGAGAGATGTCAAATAAAAACCAGAAACTGAATTCCCGCAAAGGGAATCAATTCTGCCTTCACATCCCATCTAAATTCTCAGGGGGAAGGGAAGAAGCTACTGACAGGTGTCAGTTAGAATCTGTAGAAAGCCATGAGCTATATCTTCCCTGGGGATATGACGCTTGCTGGGGACAATCCTGAACTCAGAGAGCTCCCAAAGTCTTTGTAGGGTACACCAGAGGTCAACTTCAGGCACTTACAGATTCTGAGTAGGTTTAATGTTTCCTCACCTGTGCAGGGACCTCTCAGGATCTCCCTTTTCTCTGAACCCTGGAGGTCTGGGACCCATGGCTCTTCCCTTTCTTCCAGCTGGGAGATCACATCAGGTTTGGAAATTAGAAACCCTGCTCAGATGAAAGAAAACAAAGGAGATCAGGTGAATTCATAAGACTGTCATAAAGAATAGTCTAACTCCAATCCTTAGTAAACCAGTGAAATCCCAGGGCCAGCTCCGCAGGTTCTCAAAGGTGCAGAACACCCTGCTTATGAGGGATTGAACTACCTGCATATCTGCTGGGAACACACACAGACAGACACTGTGTGACAGTCTGTACCCCTATGTTCACTCCTACAAAATTATGTATTTTGTACAAAGTATGCCTTGTGAGGTATCATTTGAAAACTCATAATCCACTGAACACGATCACCCTGTTAAAATATGTGAAGCAACACTGTTTGTAAAGTTACGAGATTTTACTGTATGATGTTACTGAAAATATTACAGTTTTGTGGAACACCCAGAGACCGGTTCCTCAGAGACAGCAAGGCTATCACCTGGTCAAATAGCCACTCTCCGGCAGGGGGACAGGCCAGTCCTTGCTTACAGACAGCCCCCAAACCTGAAGCAAATACTCATCAGCAACCCACACACCACACAACAAAAACACTAACCACATACACTATCAGAAGCTCGTTCACCTGCACATCTACCAATGTGATATATGCCATCATGTGCCAACAATGCCCCTCTCCCATGTACATTGGTCTAACTGGACAGTCTCTACGTAAAAGAATAAATGGACACAAATCAGACGTCAAGAATTCGAACATTCAAAAACCAGTCGGAGAACACTTCAATCTCTCTGGTCACTCGATTACAGACCAAAAAGTGGCAATTCTTCAACAAAAAAACTTCAAAAACAGACTCCAACAAGAGACTGCTGAATTGGAATTAATTTGCAAACTGGATACAATTAACTTAGGCTTGAATAAAGACTGGGAGTGGATGGGTCATTACACAAAGTAAAACTATTTCCCCATGTTTATCCCCCTCCTTCCCCCCCAGTTCCTCACACATTCTTGTCAACTGCTGAAAATGGCCCACCTTGATTATCACTACAAAAGGTTTTTTTCCCCCTGCTCTCCTGCTGGTAATAGATCACCTCACCTGATCACTCTGGTTACAGTGTGTATGGTAACACCCATTGTTTCATGTTCTCTGTGTACATAAATCTCCCCACTGTGTATTTTCCACTGCATGCATCCGATGAAGTGAGCTTAGCTCACGAAAACTTATGCTCAGATAAATTTGTTAGTCTCTAAGGTGCCACAAGTCCTCCTTTTCTTTTTGAAGATATTTACATTCCATCACAAGGATGGTTTGAAGCTCACATCCACAACTGACAGCCTGTCACCATGATTCAAAATTGAAGATGTTTCCAGTACAAAGGATGGAATGATTAAAGGAGGTAAGAAAATCGCTTGAGACTCTCTCTCTCTCCCTTTTCTCTGGGCTCATGACATCAACAACTCCTGAAGACAATGAGAACATGGTAGTGGGTGCCAGCCTGGGCTCAAGTCCCCCTCCCCATTGCCCCTGGCGCCCACAAAGGGCTCTGGTCCCCTGCTGCAGGACTTCAGGCTCCAGCCCTGGGTCCCGGCCACAGGGCTTTGGGCCCTGGCCACACGACAGTGAGTGCCAGCCCCAATCTCACCCCCATCGACCCAGCTCGCCAGGGCTGAGTAAGTCTGCTGTGAAAAGTGATATTTCTATTTTAATATCACTTTTCATAGCAGACTTAGTAGCTAGCAAGTCTAGAAAGAAAAAAAACCACCACCACAAATGCAAAAGAAACGAGAACAAAAGACAAGAACATGCAAAGCACCTTATTTGTTAAGCACCTCTCTGCTGTTAAGGTACAATAAAGAATTGAGACAACTGTACATTATTTTATTATCGAGTCTGCAAAAACCCCCTACATAAATTACAATGCTTTGGACATGCATAGGTGCCTATTTTTGTTTTTCCTAAAGCTAATTAAGTATTTTAGGGAAAATGGTCAGCGCAGCAGCCAGCAAGAGTTCGTGGCCGCACTCCAAGGCCACCAAAACCTATGTCGTGAGACCCCCCCCCGGACTAGTAGCACTCAATACTCTGCAGCTAGGAGCGAGTTACAGGCTGGAGACTGTGGGTTAACTACCCAGGAGTGCAAAAGGCACCCCACACTGGGGAACTGAGGGGACACGGCTGTTCAACAGTCCAGATTGTACCCTGGGTAATGTCACCGTGGCGCAGTGAGCAAGATATATGCACAGCTTGTTATTTTAAGCAAGAAGCCACGGAAGCTGAGAAGGAGAGGAAATATAAGGGGGGGGATCTCATTTTACCCCTAGGAAAAATGATATTTGGGAGCCGAGGCATTCCCCCCACCCCAAATCATTCCTCTCCTGGTAATCTCCATCACAGACCCCCTGTGAAGGAAGACAGCCCAAGAAGGTGTTATCAGTCTATCAGTACCCTGCTGAAAGAAACCAAGCCCCAACCGATCCATGTTAATGCAGCTAGCATTAGCCCAAAAGCCCCACAGGTGTCTGGAGTCTACCTGACACATTTTGGGAGAACTGGCTCTGCAGAGATAGATATGGAGCATATTAACGTTGTCAAAATCAACGGGCAGGCATCCATGGGATGGAAATAGGATGGTGCACAGATTTCTCTGGTTAAACAAAGGGTGGTCCTAGAGACTGACAGGTTACCTGGTCGAATGGCAGAACTCGTGTTAACAGGAGGATCTAAGATTCTTGTGCCTTTAGCTAATGTGCCCTATTGACAGCCGTAGCCACATAGAAAAAAAACGTTCCCAAGAATGGGGATATCATTTACCTCCCCCAAGGCCAGATTACTTTCTAAACCTTCCCATTCTCACAGGGGATCACAGGTGCCTGAATTCAGTATAACAGGACATGTACACTAGGGGCTGGAGTGGGAGCCTGTCTGTCACCACCCTGTGTGCCCCGAGGAGCTGGCTGGGTGACTGCTCTCCTCCGAAGGTCAGCCACACGGTTCACTCTCTCAGCCTGAGTTATAGGCTACCTACCGGGGTGGACAGAGGCTGAGTTACCCCCTCTATCCTGGGCATTCACCCCTGAGTGACTAGCAAAAGGACAGTTATGTGCTAACAACATTAAATGCCCCCCTGCTGCTGGACGGGTACAATCAACTGCTTATAAGACTGCCCAGGGCTTTTCTTCTTCCCCACAGGAGTCTCCCTTCTTATCTTCTTAAAGCATCGCTCCCTTTTCCCTTCCAGGAGCCCCCTCCAGCACACACCTCCTTATGCTCTCTAGAGTGGGCTGTGCCCTCTGCTCAGCTGCAGAACGCTGTCAGCTGACAACTGGGATAGGCTCTTCTGTTACAGGCATCACTTCTCCCTCCCGCCCCGTTTGGCTCTGAGGGCGTGTTGCCTTTTGGTGCTGTGTAGGAGTTATTCTCATCCCCTCGTGCGCGTGCGCACACACAGATACACATTGCTTTCTACTTTAGCAGTTTCTGGGGTTTACCATTTCCTTCTGGAAAAACAGAATGTGAAAAATAAGAATCAGGCCAGGTGACTCCAGGAATGATGGACTCCAAGATCCAAGGTGCCTGTAGAGAAGAGAGATTGTGGCTATTGCACATGGTGATGGGGGGGCAAGACTCTCCACATCTCAAGATGTTTCACTACCAACCTAGGCCATTTTCACACTCTGGGGTGCAATCCAGACCAGTGCGGAGTTGTGTCATCTGTAATCCTGGGTGAGTTTCACTGTTCTGTTGCTGGAGCTCTCTTGTCTGGATGTTCCCAGCCAGCATTCAAGGACACACTGAGTGTCTGTGTGATAAGTGACCCTGGACTAGCTGCTCTGACTCCAGCAGCTTGCTTGCGGCACCCCTGACACATTCTGGCTTCCACAGCCTTGGACACAACAGACAAGAGATTGCAACATCCCCACTCCTGAATTTTCCCAAAATCATGTGCTCTGCAATGGCTACTTTCTCCAGGACTGTTCAGAGGAATAAGGATTGGTTGTTCTTCAGAAGAGACAAATGGCCCAGCTTATCACTTTAATTGGAGATAACCATCACTTGTATTCAAAGACAGCACTGGATTAATTTACTAAACATTTAATCTAACACAAGCATTTAAAGTGAGTTCAGGTATAAACAACAGAGTTAGAAACGGTTACCAGGAAGTGGAAGTGAACAATGACCTAATAAAACTATAGTCCTGCTGCAAGGTAAGATTCTGACCACACTATTTTCCAGCAAGAGGGCAGAGCACCCCTTTGCTCAATATTTCCCCCA